GCTTTGAGGAATCACAGTGACAGGTGTGAGCTAATACCCCCTACTGGCACATCCTAGCATTTTTGCAAGTGAACATAAGCATTAAATCTCTTTTGCTGTGTAATTGGACACAGACTTGAATCAGGAGGCTGCATGTGAAGGATTAATTAGGCTCTGCAGCTGAATGGAGTCAGTCTGGACCCATTGATTTTTCTTCCTTCATCTCTGCACTACCTTGCCTACTGTCATAACAAGATTAAATTCTGTGCAGCGCCGTTGTACTTGATTCAATTTGTGTGTCCCACTGAGTGGTAATTTGGTTTTTGGAGGACCAAAAAAACCAAATGATGTAGGAATTGGATAACTCTGAGCCAATGTTCTGTTTTCATTGACAGATACCATGGACAAAGTTGAAGACTCACCCAATCTCTTTGGTAAGTTGCACCTACTACATCTGTTGATCACAGAATTAAAACAGGTCATTTATAAGTTTTTCTTCATGTATTTATTGTCATTGGATTTTTGAGATGCCTGCTTACAAATAGGCACCACAAAAAATAAAAATTGATTTGTTTTACAGTGTAATAGGACACTAACCACCTGTACTGCTGCACAGTTTACTTAGTGCCCATCGTACGTTGTATGATGCAGTTTATCACATAGTGAAGAGCAGGAAACCGCTGAAGGTGTTGTAGTGTTAGACATAGTCGAAGAGCTGCACAAACCCACAGCAGTGTCCAGCTGCATCACTGCTGCGTTGGTTGTGCTATCATCACCGACCTGTCTCCCCGGTAGACACCATGACACCACTGAGCTGGTCTGTCCAGACTTGATGCCAGTGGGTTGCAGCCACTGCCAATGTTGGAGACAATCCTTTGATATTTCAGTGGTATGTCTTGTTCAAACGGACCTACTGAGCTTCCCAAAGCAGTGGTGAAGGTCACCTCTGATGTACTTGCAAATGGGTGCTTTGCAAGCGCCTTCAGCTGCTCATTCTGAGCCTCGTCAACGGCCCAGAGCTCCTCGGCCTGGCTTTTGTAGGATTGTGAGTTGGCTTTGGCGGTGGCCGTTTTCTGCGTCGTGATGCTCAAGTGTGCTTTGTGTCTTTGTCATGGCTACCAGCTTCTCCCTCATGGCACCCACCTTGCTGAACAGGGCACAGGTGTCAGGTTGACAGGCCACCACAGTGGTTCCGGTCCCCGGGTGGCTATAAATTCCCAGCACACATGCTGCTGAAAACTAACAACAGCAGGGGGAACATATGCTCAATCTCCACAAAATATTGTATGTAGTCCACAAGCCTTAGTCCTTAAATAAATAAATTGTTCCCCTCAGCACGTGGTGTTTCACCATGTTTTTTGCACAGTTTTTTTTATATATTACGTAAGATATTTCACCAAAACATATTGGAGGAGAACAAAGCTATTGCAGCACTATTTGTTGAACATTGAGCGTAGAGTTTTAGTATTACAAGGTAGCACAATAGCACTTTGCTGAATCTGCTATTAGTCACAAACACAATGGTATCACACCTCCAACAATAACAAGGCTTTGGAAATGTTATACAACAGTGTCAAAAAGGGAGAGTACATATGATGCCTTTGTTCTGTAGGAGAGGCTGCTGCCTCAAGCTTGTGTATGTATGTATGTGTGTGTGTATATATACTGGTGAAAAGCTTCTTATGCTGGTACCCTTATCAATTAGAGAATAGTAACGACATAACTCATTTCAAGGAGTTTTATCTCATTAGACAGACTACCACCTATATGTTCCCATGTCTCCATCCTCTCTCCAGTTTCTGCTGTCAGTGGCACAGGGCCAAGCAAGCAGCAACAACTGTGTTCCATATTGTCTGACCAAGCAAGTCTCCAGCTCACAAAATTGCCTTTTCCATTTAACACTGTAGTTGGCTGACTGACATGCCTGCCTTACAGTGAGAAAAACACTAGGATCAGGCACAAAATCGATGTTGAACTAGACAGAGGTTGGCAAAAGTGGACACAGCAGCCTGATAGCATTCTTGCCAGAGATCATAGAAAAGAGAAGTGCTTGGGGCCAAAACAAACAAACAAACAAAAAAAAAAACGTTTTGGCCATGAAAGCATTATTCCTTTCTCTGTATCTAAGCTTATAACTTGCATACTGTTCCAGACCCTGGATAAAGTGGTGATGGAGATGAGTACCTGCGATGAACCCCGCCCCCCCAATGGCCCATCTCCCATAGCAACAGCATCAGGACAGAGGTGAGCTTTGGGGTTTTTTGTTTTGTGCTTTTACATAACTTTGGACAAAGAGCCTCTCAACCAAACCAAGAAGTGACAGAGCTCTCAGGTATCACTGTTAAATGTGTTTGTGTGAAAAACTCTTTAGGCAAAGTTTAACTCGCAGTAACACCAACTCATTCAAAGTGCTAATTTTGTATTGCGGATTGCTTTATTTGTTTTTGTCTCGGTACACTTTATAGTTGCTGTCTATATGGTAGTATTTTGTACTCTACAATTTAGTTTTTACACTTTATTTGTATTTAGCAGACATCCATTTTGTATTTCTCTGCATGTGATCAGTAAAGATTATCTTTATGTGTGAAAAGAAAATGTGAGGTTTGTGCTCTAGGTAAACTGGGGTACATGATTTTATTTCCTCCTCCAAAGGGAGACATGATCTGAAAAGGTCTGATCACCGCTGACTTAATCTGTTTAATCCCACCCAGGCTCCACATACAAACTAGTAATAATGTATTGCACCTCCCTGTTACCTTTGTGTACCTTCCTCTCTCTCCACCCATGTGCACCTGTCTGTCTCTCATCCAGTGAATATGGCTTTGCTGAGAAGGTGGTGGAGGGAATGTCCCTGTCCATCAACTCCATAGTGATCAGGATCAGTGCCAAAGCTTTCAACGCCTCATTCGAACTCTCCCAGCTGCAGGTCTACAGTGTGAACACCAGCTGGAGCATCAGTGATCTGCGATTCACTCGCATCCAGGACCCTCAGAGAGGAGAGGTCCGTATATTTTTATGTTTGAGTAAAGACTATAGGTTGTCATGTTGTTCGAACACTCAAATGTAGTGTTGTATGTTTCCTAATTTTCTAATTCACTGTTTGCTGCAGATCCTCACATTTAAGGAGATAAGCTGGCAGATGATCCGCATTGAGGCTGATGCTATCCAGAGCGCTGAGCACGAGATGTTGAGCGCCCCCATCCGCCTCATCACCAACCAGTCCAAGATACGAGTCACTCTCAAGAGACGGGTCAGACACACCACATCCTTAGAATAGACTGAGACATTAGTTTTATGAAAGTTGATGGATCAGACTTGAAACTGCTCTAATCAACAGCCTCTAGACTTCTGAGAACAATAATCCCTCTGCTGAATACAGCATCTTTATCAATGTAGTGACAAACTGTTTTACCTTACAAAGAAAAAAGTGCTTCAAGTGTTGGATTATACAGTTAGAGTGAAGTTGGTGGATCTTTACAGTTTAAAAAAGAACTCGCTCAACAGGAGAACTGTCATATTGTCAAATGTGTCATGTTACATTAATGGGAACTTTCAGGCTATCTCCACCTGCATACTGCATATTTGACCGCTCTACTTGACACAGATTAAGGATTGTAATGTGGTGGCCTCCAAGCTGATTCTGATCCTGGATGACCTGCTCTGGGTGCTGACCGACTCCCAGCTCAAAGCCATGGTGCAGTATGCTAAGTCCCTTAGTGAGGCCATGGAGAGGTCTGCACAGCAGAGGAAGAGCATGGCTACAGAGGACCAGGTACACACATACACAGATCTCCACAAACACAGTGACTTCATCTGCATGTAGAAGTTCACATTTTCTTAACTTCTTTCGATATTATATACAGTGGGTACGGAAAGTATTCAGACCCCTTAAATTTTTCACTCTTTGTTATATTGCAGCCATATGCTAAAATCATTTAAGTTCATTTTTTTCCTCATTAATGTACACACAGCACCCCATATTGACAGAAAAACACAGAATTTTTGACATTTTTGCAGATTTATTAAAAAAGAAAAACTGAAATATCACATGGTCATAAGTATTCAGACCCTTTGCTCAGTATTTAGTAGAAGCACCCTGTTGAGCTAATACAGCCATGAGTCTTTTTGGGAATGATGCAACAAGTTTTCACACCTGCATTTGGGGATCCTCTGCCATTCCTCCTTGCAGATCCTCTCCAGTGCTGTCAGGTTGGATGGTAAACGTTGGTGGACAGCCATTTTCAGGTCTCTCCAGAGATGCTCAATGGGGTTTAAGTCAGGGCTCTGGCGGGACCATTCAAGAACAGTCACAGAGTTGTTGTAAAGCCACTCCTTGGTTATTTTAGCTGTGTGCTTAGGGTCATTGTCTCGTTGGAAGGTGAACCTTCGGCCCAGTCATGTCCTGAGCACTCTGGAGAAGGTTTTCGTCCAGGATATCCCTGTACTTGGCCACATTCATCCTTCCCTTGATTGCAACCAGTCGTCCTGTCCCTGCAGCACCCCCATAGCATGATGCTGCCACCACCATGCTGCACTGTTGGGACTGTATTGGACAGGTGATGAGCAGTGCCTAGATATGTCCACACATACCGCTTAGAATTAAAACCAAAAAGTTCTATCTTGGTCTCATCAGACCAGAGAATCTTATTTCTCACCATCTTGGAGTCCTTCAGGTGTTTTTGAGCAAATTCCATGCGGGCTTTCATGTGTCTTGCACTGAGGAGAGGCTTCCGTCGGGCCACTCTGCCATAAAGCCCCCGACTGGTGGAGGGCTGCAGTGATGGTTGACTTTCTACAACTTTCTCCCATCTCCCGACTGCATCTCTGGAGCTCAGCCACAGTCATCAAGTGCAGCAGAAATTTTTTTTGTAACCTTGGCCAGATCCGTGCCTTGCCACAATTCTGTCTCTGAGCTCTTCAGGCAGTTCCTTTGACCTCATGATTCTCATTTGCTCTGACATGCACTGTGAGCTGTAGGGTCTTATATAGACAGGTGTGTGGCTTTCCTAATCACGTCCAATCACTATAATCAAACACAGCTGGACTCAAATGAAGGTGTAGAACCATCTCAGAGACGATCAGACGAAATGGACAGCACCTAAGTTAAATATATGAGTGTCACAGCAAAGGATCTGAATACTTATGACCATGTGATATTTCAGTTTTTCTTTTTTAATAAAGCTGCAAAAATGTCAAA